CAGCTTATATAGGGATCCTTAACTGATAGTCACGCCCCAGCCAAACCCACCAGAAACCACTCCCCTGCCATCAGGAACTCCTGAGGGTCTCATGCTCAGAGCAGCTGCAAATACAGGAAAACAAGTTGTTTACAGGAAATTCAGGGTCTGGGAGTCCACAGCCCCCGACACTTAACCATTTTTCCTAATAATGACTCTTTTATATATTAAAAAAATGCACTAGGGCTGGAGAGATGGCTCAGTGGTTAAGAGCACTGGCTATTCTTCCAGAGGTCCTGATTCAATTCCTAGCAACCATGTGGTGACTCATAACCGCCTCTTATAGGATCTGATGCCTTCTTCCGTGCAGGTATTCATGCAGGGCACTCATACAAAAAATATAAATAATAAAAAATTTTAAATAAAAACTTGCATCTTTTTCTTTTTGCATGTGTGTATGGTGTACGTGTTTGTGTGTGTGCAGATGCATATTCCTGTGTACACATATAAAAACAAGAGGAGGGTACTGGTGGCCTGCTCTATCTCTTTCTGCCTTCTTTTATTGAGACATAGTCTTTGCCGGAATTTAGAGGAAGGCTGGCAAGTAGCAAGCCCCAGCTACCCTCATGCCTGGCTTTGTTTTATGTGTATCCTGGGGCTTTGAATTCAGGTCCTCATGATTTACAGCCAGTTCTTCTATCCAGGCAGTCATTTCTTCAGTCCCAATGACTCATTATATAATATTATCATTCTTATAAACATAATGTATTTTCACTTGAAAAGGCTAATAAAACAGATTAACTGAAAATAAGAAAATAAGAAAATTTATGAATGTTTAGGGGGAAGCTGTTAGTTCGTTCCCAGCTGCCCAGACCATAAATAATCAAACAGAAACCATATTATTTGTAATACTGTTTGGCCAATAGCTTAAGCATATTTCTAGCTAGCTCTTATATTCTAAACTAACCCATCTCCATTAATCTGTGTATCACCACGAGGTCGTAGCCTACCAGCAAAGTTTCAACAGGCTTCAGCGGAGGCGTCTGTCTCCTATGGCAGCTACATGGCTTCTCCCTGACTCTGCCTTCTTCCTTCCAACATTTAGTTTAGTTTTCCCCGCCTAGCTCTATTCTGCCCTATCACAGGCCAAAACAGTTTAGTTTATTAACCAATAAAAGTAACACTTATTAAGGACTTCCCATACCATAAATGTACTTCCATTGTTGAACAACTGTTGACATTTGGTGTAAATTTTTTGTGTTTACCCAAAAATGAGATCAAACTTTTGTGGACTACCTAATTCAAATTAAGTACTTAATATCTTTTCAGACCCTTAAATATTAATCAACAGCCCCTCTTTTAAACTTACTCCAATGTAACTATTATGCGGTCCTGGAGATCAAAACCAGGGCCTCACATATGCTAGGCAAGTTATCCTCACAGCCCTACAGCTCCTTTAGATCCTGTGTCCTTCTGTTTATGAATGTACCACTGTTTACCTGCTGACACTGAGTACACAGATAAGTTCTGCATCTCACACTAATATATAGTATTTAATACAAAAGTGCTGCAGGAAGCAAATGTCTGCATTCACTCCAGTTATTTCTGGAAATAGTAGGACAGCAGGTTTGTAATCTGCCATGGAATCACTGTCCAAAATGGTTGCCATGGTTTCTCTGCCAGTTCTATGCAAGAGTCATAATTAATGGGTACCATTCTTTGTAGTGTCTCGTGAACCTGAAAAGAAATTCCACTGTTTTAACTTCCAGTACTGATCACTAGCAATGCCATCTTCTTCATCTATCATTTCCCTGTTATTCCTCTCTTGGGAACTATGTATTTCAAGGGTCCTTTGCCTGGATTTTTGAAGTTATTCATATGTAATTTCTTTACGGACCACATGCATTTCTTATGCATTGGGGTCAGTAGTTATTGACGTTATGTTTTGACCAAGCCTAACAATGACCAACTTTATACGTTCTGGCTTTGCAGCCACGTCACAACTGCATTTCTTGGTTTTCTGGTTGTAATAAAAAGGCTCATTCAGAATCTCCAGACAAAGAGCAAGAAGGGAGGAAGTGAAAATATGGTGTAGATTGGACCTAAAACTGGATGCTCGGGAACTCCAGAGCATTACCCCCACAAAGTGAGGATCACAGCACAGCAACATGGGAGAAAAATATTAAGCCGTCTATACATTTAAATTTTTATAGACGGAGTGAACATATGTAAGACTATGCAAAGTATGCACATTCTAGTTATAAAATAAACTGAAACCACATTACAGTTTGAATTTGCAATGTCCACCAAAGTTTTATTAGCTTTTCTACAAACTCAAGAGGGATCCAGGCCCTTTCTCCCAACACCATCATGACGACACAACTGAAACCATGATGGCAGGAATCAGACCTCAAGGCCATCACAAGACCTCAGTGCCCAACAGATGCAAGGGTAAGGCTGTCTTTCTCAAGCTCAGCCGGGGCTCTTACCTCCACAGCATCCTTGGAGGGAAAATGGATAATGGGCTGACAACTGCAGACCCACCCAGGAATACTTCAGATGGCTGGACTGGAAGGGTAGCGCCTCTGGCTCATTCCATAAAAAAGGGACTAAACGGGGCACAAGGATCACTGGAGTGGAACACTGACCAGCTGCTGTTCTCTTTAGCAGCCAACAAGGTCCTTCAATGCTACTCTGCTAAGCTAGAACAAGTTGCTGAGACTTGAACCTTTCTCATGTCCCAGACACGCTTTTTTTCTAGGTCATTCATAGGAATTCTTCCTCTGTGTTTTGAAGGTACAGATTGTAGAGGAGCACAGATAAGTCAAACTTCCAGGTATGTAAGCCACCACTTAGTTCAGGCTACAGAATACTTCTGTCACTCTGGAAGAGGCCTTGTATCTGCTTCAACCACAACCAACCATTCCAAGTCCTGCTGGAGCTGAGCACCATTCTGGCTTGTGGTCCCAGCATCTGATGTTGTCCTAATGTGATCCTGGTTTTACAAATAAAAATACCAACAGGTAGGTTGTTGCTTTTGTTCTGGTCCATCTTGCACACTACTATACTTGTACCCTCCTTGATCTCAGTGCAATGTGCACACAATTACAGTATAATATGGAGTACCATGGCTTCTGAGAATCAAAGGACCAAAGTATAACCACGAGTTATCACTAGCTGGATATTTGATGGCATTAAGTGGTCATTGAATCCTTCCATACACATTCATCTCCATCTCTTTTCACTCTTGCCTTCTTTGAGTTTCTTCTCAGTACTAATTAGACTCTAAACTTTAGAGTCTACCTGAAAAAAAAAAAAAAAGAGTTCCTGGTGACTTGCTCACTCCCAAAGTCCTAATGCTAAGGACAGCGACTGCCACGTAGTACACGCATATAGGTATCCATAGACTGAACATGCCAGCTTCTGAGCAAAGCTCATCTCCAGTTAACTATCCCGCAAATGGAGAAGGAAACCTGTTCATAGGACCTCTGCTCTTAAAGTCTTTAGTGGAAGCTGTGTATAGACTGAGACAGAATTAAATCAGCTAGCCAGAACTGAACTAGGCCCCAGGAACTCTTGGGAAAGAGATAATATATGGACCCTTTCTTATCTCACAGTGGGAACGACACTTCATATCTAGAAATGCTTGACAGGAATGGTTGCAATCTGATGGAGCAGTTGTCAAAGCCAGCAGCTGTTTGGCTATTTACTGTACTGATTAATTACACTGACAAGGACTGCAAGTTCAAGGTCAGCCTAGGGTACCTTGGATGAAGAGCATATGAAAGGTTTCTGCAAAAGCTCTTCTTTCTGGAGCATCACAGGATGGCTAACCTACAAAAGCTGGGAATGAGCAAGCATACCACAGTGTTCTGGGGCAAAACATTTGCTATTTCTGATGCTCAGTATCTTCTTGTAAGATCAAGTCTTTAAGATGCTCCCAAGAAAGACATTCTAAACCAACTAATTGGGAGAGGAACAAATCTTCCAGTTGCCTATCATGAAGTGGTTTGCTACAACTGAGTGGTTTAAACAGGAGACATCTATTTTCTTAAGGTTCTGGAGATCAGCAGTCTACAACGGAGATGTCAGAAGTTGGTTTCTTCTACACACCTCTTTCTGTGGTTAGTGGATGGACACCAGTTTCCACCTGTTCTCCTGGGTCCTCATCTCCTACGTTTTTAGGACACCAATATTACTTTAGGGAGGGCCTAACCTAACAGCCTCATTTTAACTAAATGACCTCCTTAAAGACTTAAATCTCCAAATACAGTCACATTCTAAAGTGACTGATTCCAGGACGTGGACACATGAATTGTGAATGACATGATTTGGCCTGTAATAGATACAGGGTATTCTTTCACAGTGATGTAGGTACTCACATTAGGCTTAATGTATGTATTGAGACGTTAAAAAGCAGGAGATAAGCCCGCATCATGTGCATATAAAAGCTGACTGGTTTAAGGAAAGAATGCTTTCCAACAAGGCTTATTTGTAGCATTTTTGGATTTACTGGAAAGGCTCAAGTTGAAAATGTGCAAGCCAAACCCAGGTATTAGGGCAGTTTAATTCAGAACAAAGGCAAGATGCACCATTACTCAACTAGCATGGTCTTTCTTCTTTTCTTTTTCTGGAGACAAAGTTTCACTGGGTATCCCGGCTGGCCTCAAACTCATAGAGAACCACCTGCCTCTGCCTCAGCCCTGAGTGCTGGGATTAAAGGTGTTTGACACCATGCTCAGGCCAACAGCATTTTCTGGAATAGCTGCTGACAACCCTTGGTTATGCTGTTTCTCCATGAGGCACATGGTCTAGGTGTGGACTCGTATCATTAGCCTGTCAGTCGTCTGTCCCCAGGAAACCCAGGTGTCTGTATGTCACCCAGACAAGAGGTGAGCTCCAAGTCTGGGAGCCTGCATTTAACAAGCACTAACCTACCCACCCATTTCAGCCTGCAGCCTCTGCCCCAAACATGGGTGCACTAGGCACCCACTCTCCACAGAAGCCAAGTGACACGTTTCTAAGCTGCTAAATTGATTACATCTTTATTTTATATGCTGTATAATCTGGTATATGAAAAAAACTAGACCAGTCATAATTAATATCCTCATTTCCATTTGGTCTATCACTGAAAACCAGCCAAATCATTTAGTTTTTTAAATAACAAAAGCAAGAATTGAGCCAACGGTTACGTCCACACAGAAGTTTTCTCATTCAGTCGTCCAGGCAGCAGTGGCTGAGGGAACGAAATGCAAACCTGACAGCTACACTCCTCTCCAAGGAAGACCGAACTCTGCGCTCAAGTATAAAGATGACCTGAAGTCTATCTTGACTATCAACCATCGAGCACACAAGTTGAAAAACCAAGAGCACTGTGGAAATTATACGCTGCTGTAGAATCTGGCCCCACAATTTGTCCGAGCAAGGTCCCAGATGCTGTTGGGGTATCAGTGCTGCTGCAAGGGCCATTCCTACGGCCCTGGGAGGCCTGTTCTGCTTACCATGGCCCTTTGGACTTATGGTAGCTACGGGGCAGACTTCAGTTGGTGAGCCCAACGGTAACATCTTAAATAGAATGATGATCTCAGGATATGAAAGCCATGTTGTAGAGGCTCCTTTGGGAGACCAAGTCTTCAACAAGGCAGTCCTGTGTCTGGTGACTCCACTCTAGCTACCTCTTCTTGTGTGACCTCATGTGTGCAGCAATCGAACCAGCTATTTCTGCCGCCTTCTTGTTTTGGCCAAAGTAATCAAGAAACTCTCCATCTGGTCCCACCAAGTACATTATTATTGTATGATCAACCTGTAAAGAGGAGAGAAAGAGATATGTTACTGAAGAGAAAGAGGCTGCAGGGTAAGAGACATTAAGATCGGTGCTTAACTAACCATTGTAGCATCTGCTCAGAGAAGCACTGTCTACCAAATGAGCCTTTGCTGACTGCAACACACTCACAGCCAGGGACTACCTGAAACCTCATGTCCCAGAAATAAGCAATGGCCACTGTTGTGAGTCAGCTTAGGAATATTTTGGTACAATTTTTCATATACTCATCAGAACATTCTCTGAGAGAATTCACCTTCTATCAGCCTTCATAAATACCCTATGTAGTAAAACAGTGATGCTGTTTTGAAACACCTTCCACTTCTGAGGGTATCTCATCTAACCCCTTCTCCATTCATTCATGGAAGCCAGAGCAGGGCTCAGAACTACTCTGAGTAGTTCAGAACACAGTCTGGGTGTCCAACCTCATGTTTAAGAAGAACTGGCTCTCATTACTGCCTAATCTCCGCTTGCCATGGTTTATGGAGAAGCCAGAAAACCAACCACTAGCTGAAGCATGTAATTTGCAAATCCTAATAGTGATTTAGTCAAGATATTAGTGATTCAAACATAAACTGGAAGATGTTTTTCTCCCCTGGGAAATCTGCATTTGCTATTATGAGCTTGCAGCTGAAGCAGACTGCTTGGAAACCCCACAAATGCTGCTCTAGGAGCCTCTTCAATCCATCATCAATTCTCCTGATTATGCTCTTTAAATGCCTCAGTTCCAGTTCAAGTTGAGACTGGTCATTCCTTTTTACTATTCATTTTAAGAGTAGATATGGCATCCTAAGTCCTTGGAATTTGTTGCAGGCTTGTTCAGCAAGACAGGAAAAGACAGGAATGCCATCACACATACCAAATGGAAACTCCCCAGAATATACCCCAACCCACATTATCTGGCCATGAGGCTATTACCTTTTTATACACACACATTCATAAGGAGATAGCAAATGGAAAGAGCCACTTGTCTGCCATCAGGAAAGAATGCCACCAAGGGCTGAGACAGCTGGTGACTTCATGTGGAGAATTGACAGTAGGAGCCAGGCAAGGCCCGACAGAGGATTCAGTACTAAAACTCTGGCTGTCCCCTCAAGCCTTTCTCTGAAGCTTACACTCCTCTTTCCTTCACTGTTTCCTTTTTTAAGAGAATTTTTGAAAATTTCATACACACACACACACATACACACATATACATACTCCACATACTCTTTCCTTTTTCTCTATGCACTTTTCTCCTTAAAGAACAGAATTCAGTATGTTGGACTTCTTTTAGCAGTCTGTAGTACAGAAATACAAACCCAGCAATTTCCTATCCTTACTTCCTCAATGTGTGTGTGGTGCTTATGTACATGTAGGGTGAGTATGTACACCCACACAGATGCAGAGGCCAGGGGGCCATGTTGGGTGGCCTCTTTTGTCACTCTCAGTCTCATTCCCTTGGAATAAGGGCTCTCACTAAACCTGAAGCATCGAGCCACTACAATGTTACCGCCCCAATAGTGCTGGAGTTTCAGGAGGGCATGACCATGCCTGGTTTTAAATGTGGCTTCTGGGACTGTGATCTCATCCCATGCTTACACAATAGGCACTGTTACCCCCTGAGCTACCGCCCCACCCCTCGCTGTCATTTCAACAGCTATTTTAATATACATTTTTATCGCCTAAAAGAGTAGTGCATGCACACTAGTCTTCCATTCTGGATTCCCCATGTCCTCTGGCTCTTCCAGCAGGGAACCGCTGTCACTAGTTACTGCTATATTTGCAAAGAAATCCTCTCCATTTGCTATGTCCATACCCAGCACCACCACCACGGCCACACAACTGACATTTCTTGACAGCCTCCTGTCAGGCAACACAGAAACCACTCTTCTACATCAGGACAGATAAAGTAACTCTTCAAAAATAGTTGACTCGGGTTTCAGTCCTTGGTCTTTCCCAACAATGCTGTAAGATTCACCTGTGAGCTAATTTCCAAGTAGCACCCAAGTTGGTGAAAGCAGCTTTTACACCCTTCCGCACTGCCCTGAAGAGGGCCCACCAGATGCATCCTATCTACAGTGCACGGAAACACCTCTTGTTTGGAACTCACACCAACAACTCTAACAACAGGTGTTCAAACTTCCCAATCACAGCCAAACTAACAGGATTTTAAAAAGATGTACCACTAAACAATCCCACTTTTTTCTTATGAATTTGTCTTAGCTTAAATTTAAAAAGCCATTTGTACTTGTCCTGAACTATTTCTAACATTTATATACAATAATGTGGCATTATGTCTATAATAATTATGCATATAGTATTGTGCAAATTTGGCCTTGTGGTGAATCCTATCTGGCATGCTCAATTTATATCCACAGTCTACAGATTCTACTTCTCTCCCCACTGTCGGAAATCATGAAAATATCATCCTGTTACACCAAGGATAATCTTTAAGCGCTGCCCCCACTGGTCCTTAAACCCTAACATATTTCCATCTATCTACAGCCTTAAGACACGGAGTCACACTAAAGAAAAACTCTAAGAACCTTGGAAGTGTCTCCAGCTCCCCCTGTTGGCTGATTTAGCAAATAAATGCACAGCAATAAAGTCGCGGAGTTCAGTCAGACCAGCAGGCCAGTATGCAGTCTAGGATACACCCTAGAAGGTCAAGGAAGTCTCCATAAAAGCTATGTATGTGTACTTTATCCTTTAAGACAAAAATAACAACTATGCTTCAGATTACCTGAATCACAAGTACAGATTTCAAGGCCTAACATGTGCTTTATTGTGATGAACTCACTGGCTCCAGGCAGTGCATGGCTGCAGACCCACAGATAACAAGGAATGGCAATTTTTACTATGTAAAGGGCACCTGATGGAGGTAGACTATGCAATCAAGGGGAAAAAAAAATCAGAAAATTGTGAAGGGGTAGTTGACAGCATTGTGGGACCACACAGGCTAGCTGCCTAACCCCATTCCTGCAGATAAGAACAGCTTTGGCTTCAGTGAAATACTTGCCATTTAAATGGAATGTTTCACTTGCTTTTATTTTTGAGACAGGGTCTCACTTATGTGGCCCTAGTTGGCCTGAAACTTGCTATGTAGATCAGACTGACCTCAAACTCACCAGGTCTGGTTGAACTCAAATGCTACAAATAAAACCAGCCATTGTGTTTACTTGAAGTTTTTTAACTTCAGGTCTATAATAGAATTTAACAAAATTTGTTTATGGCTGGAAGATTAGCCCCTCTCAGGTGAACCAAACCAGTCACTCTGTGTGAAGGGGAAATTCTGACAAGTCCTTCACCCCTGAACAAACCAGTCACTCTAACTGTGTGACAGGGAAGTCTGACAAGTCCTTCACCCCTGAACAAACCAGTCACTCTGTGTGACAGGGAAGTCTGACAAGTCCTTCACCAGTCACAACTGTGTGAAGGGGAAGTCTGACAAGTCCTTCACCCCGTGGGGCTTCCTCTTTGACACTTGCACACTTTTCCACTTCTCACACTGCAGGGGCAGCAAGACAAGGCTGCAGAGGAGCCTGACTACGCTTTCTGCAAACGTAGGGCTTCAGGAAAAACTCACTTTTTTTCTTGTCCTTTCCCCTCACAAATCCCAAGTTTCTTCAATGCTATAAGACCTTAGGCTTGAAAAATATGGTGCCATGTTGGGCTTAACTGAGGCATTGTGGTCAAAAGTCTGTTTTATTTTGGCCATAGGCTATATGGGCACAAAAGATGCTACAGGCTCAAAAGGGCTAGAGAGGGGCTGAAGGGATGGCCGTGTGTGCCAGCGCTTACTGTGAAAGCAAGAAGAGCGAGAATCGCCTGCATCCAGGTAAAAGTCAACTATGGCCACAGACATCTGTATGTGCAGTGATGTGGGACTGATTTCTTATTAATAAAGAAACTGCCTAGACCCATTTGATAGGCCAACCCGTAGGTAGGCGGAGTAAACAGAACAGAATGCTGGGAGAAAGAAGCTGAGTCAAGGAGTCGCCATGATTCTCCCACTCCAGACAGACGCAGGTTAAGATCATTCCTGGTAAGCCAGCTCGTGGGCTACACAGATTAATAGAAATGGGTTAGATCGATATGTAAGAGCTAGCCAATAAGAAACTGAAACTAATGGGTCAGGCAGTGTTTAAAAGAATACAGTTTCCGTGTAATTATTTCGGGTAAAGCTAGCCGTGCAGGCGGCCAGGTGCCGGGGACGCAGCCTGCCGCTCCTATTACAACAGTGCAGTACAGGGGAGCAGAGACTGGCAGATTCTGGAAGCTTGTTTATCAGCATCATAGTCAGCATGTACACACACACACACACTTTCACACACATTCACGCGAGAAAAGGCACAAACTATAGTGGAGACCCTATGCATGTTGCTGTAGGGACAGCCTCAGGATACTGGTAAATCAGTGACTCAGGGTCAGCCTCCCTATCAGTTTTACACATAAAATGAAATTTATAATTAATCACTTTACTCAACTAACATTATAGAAAACCCAGAGACAAGTGGAAAAAAAATCAGTAACAATACTATAGCACCATGTCAACTCTGAATGCGCTGAGAAACAAGAACCTAATAGACAAGAAAAGTCAGTCCTTTGCACACCATTAAACAACCAATCGGAAATGGGCTCAGTCTCTCAAGACTTCCCAGACAACACTGATTAACAAGGAAACAGGTCCTTACTTAAAGAACCACAAAGGTAAACTGGGCAGATCCCATCTCTCATTATTAAACCCCAAGCTGAACTAATGTCACAGATATTAAAACTTGTAGATAGTCTGTTATTTGAAGACTCTTTATTTTTCCTCTTGCTTTTCAATGAAATAAAAGACTCCCTGGGGATTACACTGCTTCTAAAAAGGAGCACTTGCCTTCTACTTCATCAAGGACCCAGGGCGAACCAATGCAGATGCCGATGAACTAAAACTGAAGACCACTGATGCCACTGATGCTCTTCTGAATCCAACATGATGCCCGAGTATTTGCTTTTATAATTGTATGTAACTAGGGAAGTCAGACAAGCTATGGAATGAATATAAATTAAGCAATAAACATCCACCTTTCAAAAACGTGTGCTACTAGATTTTCAAATAATTTATGGTAGCCTCAGCTTCATTTTTAAGTGATTTTTGTTTTATGTATTTGAGTGTTTGCCTACATGTATGTATGTGTAATCATGTGTGTGCCTAATGCCTGTGGAGTCCAGACATTGGATCCCTTGGAACTGGACTGATAGTCAACTACAAGCCACAATGTGGGTACTGGGAACTGAAGCAGGCTCTTTGGAAGTGCTCTTAATCACTGAGCCATCTCTTCTGCCCTGCAGGTTTTCCTTTATCTCAGAAGCCAGTCAACATGTAAAGTGTGTGAGAACCTGGGACCTGAGGGCAGGCAAGGAGCTGAAAGCTGAGCATTTACTTACTATGTAGTCCTCATCTTCATCCTTAGGGCCAGGGCTGTAATAGACCCTGTATGCTCTAGCCACTCCATCAATCTCTTCTTTTGTACCAGTCAAACCAACCAATTTGGGAGAAAATTCTAGATATAAAAATAAGAAAGACAGTGAAAATGAAAGACAAGAAATATAACCATCTTTATTTAAAATAAAGATACATAAATAAAAACCCTAATGAATAAAAACATTGTAAAGCAGCTTTGGTGCCACTTTGTTCCTCAGTCACCAAACATTTCTACATAATTTAAAGAAAAACAGACCCAGAGAAGAAATGAAAATTCTCCCATGATAGATGTTGGATCTTCAGTGACTACAATAAAGATCTAGAGGAAACATATTCTAGTTACTTAGACTATGTTTTAAGTTAATTTAGTTACAAACACTTGTAAGTGAGGATTCCTGAAGTACTTCAGGCTTTTCACTGCATCAGATGGAAAGATACTTAGTTCAAGAGGCTGGTAAGATGGCTCAGTGGGTGTGAGAGGCTTGTGTAGTGGTCTGAAAGATTTTGGTCCCCAAGAGAGTGGCACTATTAGGTGTGGCCTTGATGGAGCAGTATGATCTTATTGGAGAAAGTATGTCACTATGGGAGGTGGGCTTTGAGGTCTCACATACGTTCATGATAGCACCCAGTGTCTCCTGCTGCAGCACCCCGCCTGTCTGCATGTTGTCCTGTCACATCACGATGACAATGGATTATATCTCTGAAAATGTAAGCCACCCAAATTAAGCGTTTTCCTTTATAAGAGTTGCTGTGGTCATGGTGTCTTCACAGCAATAGGAGACAGCTGGGGAGGACTCAGTCTGAAATGGGATGTCTTCATCAACCCCACTCCCCTCAAGGCTCAGGATCCACATGGAAGAGATGGAAAGACTGTAGGAGGCAGAAGGGATGGAGGACTCCAAGGAAATAGGCCTGATGCACATATGAACTCAGACACTGTGACAGCATGCACAAGTCCTGCACATGCTCAAACTGGACAAAATGTGAGCTGAGAAGGGAAAGTGGACACAAGTTCTACCCCCAGTCAAGAAGCTACCTGCAACTGATGATGGTTGGGAAAAGGAAACTCAGGGTTCTCCAGTGAGGTGTTAATGGGACTATCAACTGCTCTAGGACAGGCCCCATGCTCAGGAGTAGTTGGTGCCCAACACAAAAAGGACTCCATGATCCTTTTGTGAGCTTTTGTCTCATTTTATGAGCACTTTTTGTCTTCTTGGTTTTTTGCCTGTTGGATGGGTGGGAAAACCTGAGAGTAGTTGAGTGGAAAACATGATCAAAACAAACTGTATGAAAAAAACCTTTTTTGTTGTTTTTGGAGAATTTTGAGACAGGCTATCCCTATGTAGCTAAAATGGTTGCTAACACTACCTGTCTATTTAGATGGTTTGCTACTGCAAACTATTAAATAAGTCTGTGTAAATGATCAGCAAAACACACCTTTCACATAAGCTGAGATGGCTTCTTTTGTGTCCCTTTCTGGGTCAATGGTGATGAAAAGTGGAGTTAAATTCGGCAGGGACGGAATACTGTCTGAAAGAAAGTTTCAATTAGTCCAATAGTCACCATAAGGGAAAGAGGGAGGGAGGGAGGGAGGGAGGGAGGGAGGGAGGGGGGGAAGGGAGGGAGGGAGGGAGGGAGAGAGAGAGAGAGACCTAGCAACACTAGAGACAGTGGTGCAGCAGCAAAATGTAAGGGGAGCATGGGACAGATTAGACTATCTGGAGTGGAGGAGGAGGAGTTTCTGTCTGTGATGGAGCCAGCCAGCCGTTCCACCAAACACCTCTACTGATACATAACTGCTGCTACCCCAGATTACATCTTAGCCATCTCACTTCCTAATGCAATCCAATCCCTGCAGTTTTTCCTACCGTAGCTCAGGGACAAGGTTATCAATAAAGACTGAATACACCAAAACAATTTAAAGAGGTATGCTTCCTTCTAATTGCTTTTAATTGACACAAATAAAACATAACCTGCCACTCCAGATTTCCTAATCTAATAACTATCAATGTCACTGGGGAAGCACAATGAGAATGCTTCAGTAAAAGGAGATAGAGGCACAACGACATTTTGAAGTGACCCAACACTAGGCACCCAAACAAGCCTCCTCAGGTAGAGTAGGGTCCTGGAATCACACCATCTAGCTGAACATGGACCAAACAGTTACAATACCCTGTCTGACACCCTCCAGGAGGTGAGAAACAGCACCGTTCAATAGTGCGGTTAGGGCTGTGCTCTTACCTATTTCATCTACAACTTGAATCATTTTTTCTAGTTCTTCTGGACAGATATCAGGGCAATGAGTGAAGCCAAAATAAATCAATACCCACTGGCCCAGGTAGTCCTTGTCAGTCTTGGGCTCGCCATCATGAGTTACGAGGGAAAACGGTCCCCCTAGTAAAGGCTTTCCAATGCTGCGATGCCGCTGCTTCTCCAGCTCTTAAAGAGATACACCAAACAAGTCACTGTAACCAGAGTCACAGAAACATCTGACAGAGTTAGCATAATACTAGTAACAGTATGTGGGTGGAGTGGGAAGTAGAAAATAAATATATCAGCTTTCAAGACACTAACAAAAATACTGTCAGAAAAACAAGCATAAAATAAGAAAAGTAAATGCTGTAACACACGGTAAGCACTGAAATGAGTGGTAAAAAGTGTTCTCCTAGAACAACCCAGCACTAAGCTGTTCAGCGTGGGGGTGAGGGCTGGGTGTTAGAGGCAGCCTCAACGGAAAGGGAATGTTGATGGGACCTTAGTTTTATATAGAAAATTAAATAACAAAGCAAATAAACAGGAATAAGTGTTACTAATGGAAAGCCGGAACAATGGGCGGGAAAAAACTGGAATGATCTCTGTAGTATTAAGACAATCAGACGTACTGGTATAACTTGATGGTTTCCATATACAGGAATTCTCCAACGAAAAGAAAAAGTTGTTTTTGTTGTTGAGAAATGCTGAAATAAGCTGAAACAAATAAAGTTCAAGGAGAGCAGGTGGCAGAAGGAAAAGCCAAGGATGACTGAAAACAGGTCCTGTGTGAACAGCAAGCTCTTGTTTCCGGTTTCATTTCTGACACTGTGATAAAATAGTCTGTTAAAAACAAACTCAGGGCCGGGAGGTGCTGGTGCCTGCCTTTAATCCCAGCACTCAGAGGCACAGGGTCTCTGTGAGATGGAGGCCATCCTCGTCTATAAGAGCGAGTTCCAGAATAGTCAGGGCTACACAGTGGGACCCTGACTCAAAAACAAAAATACAAAGCAAAACAAAAGAAACTCGGATGAGAAAGGGTTTATCTAACAATTCCTGGTAATAACCCATGTGTGGGGAAGTCCGAGTGGGAGGCCCGCGCAGCAGCTAGTCATACCACATCCACAGTCTAGAGGAGAGGGAGAGAAACTATGCACGCATAGTTTAGCTAGCTTTCTCTATTCTTACAAAGTACAGGGCCCCAAACCAGGAAATGGGGCTGCCTGCCACTTTCAGGCTGGGTTTCCCAAAGTCAATTAGGGCAATCAGGAAAATTCCCAAGGTGATGTATGTTCACAGGCCAACTGCTAAAATTCTAACGCCTGTGCATTCTCACTCCCATATTCTAACATTTCTCTGTATTAACAGCATCAAGAAACTCTAAATAACTCATTTAAACAATGTTTATCCAAATTTTTAAACCAAATCTTAAAGTCTTAGAATATCCAGTAAAATATAAAGTTTATTTTCTTTTAATCCTGTCAACATTTCGAGACGGCATTTCCTAGTAGTTCCTGGCTTTCCCTCCATCACAGGCAGCCTGTTCCTGTCCACTGCTGCCGCCCTGGTCTGCAGTACCGTACTGGTCTGCAGTACCGTACTGGTCTGCAGTACCGTACTGGTCTGCAGTACCTACTCTCCATGCCTGACCTCTAGGAAGTCTTCTCAGATCCCAATGTCAAAGGCCCTCACATACCCTGCCCTGCCCTCCAGCCTGGAAGAACGCCATCCAGTGAAAGCTTTGGTTTCTGGGTCTGTCTCCTTGTCAACTGCATTCCAACCGCTGGGCATCTCAGTCATCTTTGTACCCACTCTCGGGACTTCCAACTGCCCACATCCAACCTATTTACAGTTGTATTTTCAACGATAAAGCAGCGTCATTTTGGATTCCATCCTTGAAAAGTTAAAGACAACGACGGAAAAATATGCAAAACTAATTAAATGCCGCAGTCCGGTTAATTAATTCTATCAACTTTAATTTCCTAGTTGTCCACGACCATATAAAATGTCAACAATGGGAGAGGGTGGATGAAAGGTATTTGGAGACTTTTCTTTGCCATCTTCACAACATTCTAAATTAGTAAATCTAAAATCATTTTTAAATTAAAAAAAATTAAAAACAGGGCAGGGCAACAGCTCAGTAGATAAAAGTGTTTGATATAAAAACCTGACGGTGCACCCACACACTGAGACAATGGGGATGTTCTATTGGGAACTCACCAAGGCCAGCTGGCCTGGGTCTGAAAAAGCCTGGGATAAAACCGGACTTGCTGAACATAGCGGACAATGAGGACTACTGAGAACGCAAGAACAATGGCAATGGGTTTTTGATCCTACTGCACGTACTGGCTTTGTGGGAGCCTAGGCAGTTTGGATGCTCACCTTACTAGACCTGTATGGAGGTGGGTGGTCCTTGGACTCCCCACAGGGCAGGGAACCCTGATTGCTCTTTGGGCTGACGAGGGAGGGGGACTTGACTGGGGGAGGGGGAGGGAAATGGGAGGCGGTGGCGGGGAAGAGACAGAAATCTTAAATAAATAAATAAATAAATACCCTGACTTCAGGAACCCACCATGAAGTAAAGAAGACACTAGCCAGGCAGTGGTGATGCATGCCTTTAATCCCGGCACTCAGGAGGCAGAGACAAGCAGATTTCTGAGTTTGAGGTCGGCCTGGTCTACAGAACTAATTCCAGGACAGCTAGGGCTGTTATACAGAGAAACCTTGTCTTGGAAAGAAAAAAAGAATACACTAGAACCAACTCCCAAAAGCTGTCTTCTGGCTTCTGCCATGGCATGCTTGCACCTGAACTCATATACACACAAGTATAAATAAACAAAATAAAAAGTTCAAAGACGAAACAAAAAAACCAATGGTCCAAAAGAATGACTACTTACGTTCGATCTTTTCTTTCTTGAAGTACTTCATTCCAGCCAATAAAGATCCTCCAATGGCAAAAGTCAACGCTAAAGACTTCCAAGAAACGGGCTACTGGGGCAGAGAGTTCAACCAAATAAACAAGTAAGATGCAAACCTTTAACCATGCTTTACCTATTACAAAGTTTTCAGAGCACGCATATGCACACAAACCATTATCACACACGTTGAATGTGTTAGGCTAATTTGGGATACATCCTGAAAATTTCTGTGAATACAGTTATATCTACTACAAAAGCACTCGTTTCCAGTTAGTTACCCAAGCTAATTTAAAAACAAAGTAAGGGTTGAAGATGGAGCTCAATTAACTGGCCGGAGTGCTCGTTTGGCAAGTACCAAAGCCCTGGGTTCCATGCCAGGCACTGCATAAAACCGGGTGTGGTGATGCACACCTGTAATCTTAGCACGCTGGGAGGGGAAGGCAGGAGGATCAAGCTCAAAGGCATTCTTGGCGAAATAGCAAGTTCTACGCGCCAACTTGAGATACGAAAGACCTGGTCTCAACAAACAGCGCAGAGCCCGTAACTGATTACTACTGGCTCAAGCTGCTACTGTACTCTTTAAAACCTAAAATGTTTGCCACCTGTGCCTAAGATTTGCCCCGCTCCCCAAGTCCACATTTCTTACTAGCACGAGCAAGGCAGAGGCTCTGAATTTGAGATACAACGAGAACGAGAGGAAGATAAAAAGGAACAGAAGAGGAAAAAAGAAAGAAGAGGAATACCCAAACGCAACAGAGGCCCACATTTTTGCTTCAATTTCAACTTACACAATGAAGCATTGAAGGGGGAATTCAATTCAGTGAGATTATAAAAGTGCTCTGAATTTTGAATCATGACAAAGTTGAGATCCTTAAAACCTAGAATTGATTTTTTTTTTCCTGAAGCAAAATTCCGGGCTGTGATGGCGCGGAGGGTGAGTAAATTTCTCAAGTTCTTTCGAGGCAGGGACTACGGGCTGACTAGCAACCAGTTCTGCCAAGGCTAGGACTACCGGCGGACCAGGAAGCAAAGTGACTCCATGGCCCTTTCAGGGCACGCCAGGGAGTTCTGAGGTTGTGACCCAGCCGGATGCAGAGATACCGGGCTGCAGAGAGCGGTGAGTCCGAAAGGCTCCACGTAAACACTCACCCCGGGCTTCATGCGGCGTGACCCGGCTTGGCCGCCCTTGGTCTCTGGCCCTTTGGCCCCCGGCGGTGGCGGCGCGGCGCTGAAAGCCCGGATCCCCAGGCAGCAGCGCGCCTCTCGGGGCCACGGACTTCCCACCGGACCCCAAAGCCCATGGCCGTGAGGGAACAGACGCCAGAGCTGGCGACACTGCGGTCGCATCCCCATACAGCTAGCCCGCACCAACGCCGCCATGAGTTTAGGAGACCACGCCTTCTTTGGGCCTCCCCTCTATTTCCGCAGGAGCTTCCGCTTCCGCAGGAAGCCGGGTGAGGCCGCTCTTTCCTCTCGGCTCTGTGGTGATGCAGTTTACCCGCGGGTTGTCAAGGAGTCCGTGGTTGCACAGCTGCCAACGGTAGGTGCTTCTCTGGCTGGGAACGGGTGTTGCGGGCAGTAGGCGGCGTACCCTGGGCGGCAGTGCTCCTGGGTCCTGAGCTGAGCCTGGCGGGTGCTGGAACAACCAAACATCCTTGGACAGGACGATGGGACAAGGTGGCCCCGGGTCTTCTAGCGGGGTTCTCCAAGCGGGGTTCGCTCCTCCCAGTAAGAGACCGGGGATCCCCTCCTCTTGCTTAGTCAAAAAAAAAAAAAAAAAAAAAAAAAAAAAAAAACAAAAACGGGCCAAGTAGAACAGCAAAGTCTCGGACCCCACAATTACAAGTATCTCATGGCATTTGAAGTAATCCATGACTTAGGGGAAAAAAATACTAATAAGACTTTGGGTGCCTAGGGTGATGAGAAGACTTAAGACCAAAGTGCCCGCGCTTGTAATTACCGTACAAGCTGCCTGAGAGCAAGGCACTGCAAAAGTGTGTGCTGCGCCATACATACCACATCCTTCATTTATCCACCGGATCATTTCGGTTCCGTCGTTTCTCATAAAGGTCTCGCCACTCCCACCCCCTACCCCCGATTTTAAAGTTTGTTGAAGGTTTCCTCCTTTGGGACTGCTTAGTTAGTTGGCTACAGCTACATACTTATTTTTCGTTTCTGGAGAAATTTTAACTCGTATTCCGCTCATTTGCTTGTTGTTATTTGCTGTGCCTGGGCTGGGCAGTTACCGGCTCTTCTTTCTGTCTCAGTGTCAGCCACCTTTGCCCCTCCCTTCCCACCCTGCCTCCGTGGTTGCTTGGGGTTTGTAAAGCAGCAGCCCCTACCCTTTAATAAAAGCTTTTTTTTTCCAACCCCAGTGAGATCCCATCATTGCTTCGGTAGTTGTTGCATTAAAGCGTGATATTGTTTATCTCTATGTTTATCTCAATGTTTGGACCGTCTGACCTATTGTGCTGCTCTCCAACACAGCAATTATCTTCTGAAATTTATGCTCAAAGCTAATAGTTTTTTTTTTTGTTTAAAGAAATCATTGTTGAAGTTTATGGAGAGGTTTTTCAAATTTAAAGAACAGCGGTTAATAGAAAGATGGTTAGGAGGAGAGTACACAGCCAAAAGCATGGATGCGGGCCTCTTAGGAGAGTCACACTTACTTGTCTTTATAACATATAAGTGTGTGTGTGTGTGTATGATTTGGATGGCTTCTGAAGGTATATCTCAAAAGACTGTCTAACATATTTTCATTTTCATTTTCCTGGGAAATGAGATTATAGACTGGCTCCGGCGGTGCACTACATAGAATTACACAAAGGCCGTGAGACGTGTTTAGTGCAAATAAAGTTTATAGTCTTGTTTGTAAAGTTTCCAGAAACTGTAGCTTTGTGTCTGGGAAAGGAGCAGGACTGTACTCCAAGGTGATAATCGTGCTTAGGCCTTAAGCATAGTTCATTGCTGTCTTAACATTATTTGAAATCTCTATATAAAGGGAATATTGTTCCTTTGTAGGTAACCTTCACAGCAAACATTATTAATAGTGGGAAAATCCTGACTCTCGGCTGACAAGGGACTCCAACCCAATCCCTTTCCATGTCTCCTACCTCACTTCCCCTCTGAGACTTTGATCCCTTGATTTTAAGAGTTAATGGTAGTTGTAGTTGGTGTTGGTTGTATAACTTATTTGCTGGACAGGGATATATACCCTGCCTATCCAGCCATCAGCTGTCTCAAGCTGTCTCGTCTGTATAGGATGAGAGGGAATCTGAGCATACAAGATCATCATTCCACGGGGATGTAGATGAGAGGATGTCATTACTCGCCACATCTAACCACAGAAACAATAAAGATTGTTACACCTGGTCCTAAGATTAGCACCGAAGTAACCAGGCCTTTAGCCACATGGTACCTGAGACCTGTGATGCTAATGAATCATTAGAACTTGCCACAAAACCCTACCATGATTTAATTGTGGTGTGTAAATCTTGGAGGATTGAGGATACATGTCCTGGTTGTTGGTATATATACCCAACACTTTAATGGTGGCACAGGTTCTCCTTGTGCTATTGACAGACTACCAGGGGCCATTAGAGTGACTGTCCTCATTTTCACTTTTGGGTTAAGAATTGGAAGAAGTATACACCTGATTATCTACTGAGTGTACGGGAAAATACAAAGAACAATGCTAGAAAAGTTCTGAAAATGTGTGTGTGCATAAGAGTGCGGGTGCCCAAAGAGGCCAGAGGTGACAGATCCTCTAGAGTTGGAGCTCCAGGTGGTTGTGAGCCACCTGACATGGGTGCTGGGAACTGAACTCATATCCTCTGCAAGGACAGTCTTCACTCTTTAATTTTTGAGCCATTGCTTCTGTCTATGGATTCTTAATTTTTTTTAAAGACTTATTTTGTGTGGATGTGCCCGATCTGTGTGGTGCCCTCAGATACCAGAAGAGGACTTTGGATCCCTTCAGCAAGGGGTGAGTCACTCAGTATGGCTGCCGGGATCTGAACTGTTTCTCAGGAATGACCAGCAAACAAACTCAACTACTGAGCCATCTCTCCAGCCCCCAAGAAAGATTTTAATGATTAAGATGATTACGTGGATAAAAGGGCAATAATGTAAAGTTGTAGCTATTAATTATGTATTATATCAACAGCACCCAGAAGAAAAACAGTGATGCAAATCGAGACACAAAGTAAGGTTTCAGTTACTGGTAGATTTTTAAAATGGGGCTTAGCTTTGTTTTTAAGAAGGTAAGCATTTTTCTCTCTTGTCTGAAAACAGCTTTCATGTCTTCTCATGCTTTGCAGAAACAAGAGATCTTTTCGTGGGATGCTCTTGAAGCAACACTACATTATGGACTGTCCCTTTGCAGCTGCCAGGAAAGGCGGCAGCCCCAGTGGGGCAGGAGCAGGAAGCAAAGCTTCCTGCTGCTACCTCTAGCCAGCTCAATCACTCTCTTTAGAGTCCTGTGCTTGGGTGAGGCTAGGGTTCTCAGCTGCAGAAAGGAGTTTCAGGATGAATCAGTATGATGCATATTTGAAGTTTATTACGACATTTTATAGATTTAAGCCTGATGTTAATAAGAAAGAGGTGCTTAGGAGAAAGAGAGCCACAAGAGCGTGGGTGTGGACTTCTCAAAAGAGTAGTGAGTTGTTAAATTTCTACTGGGCATTTTGGCTTACTGTCAGTCAAAACTCATTTTTTTCCCTCCATTTTATTTGTTTACCAAAATATCTTTATCTATTGGATGTGACACTGTATTTTAATTGTAACCAGATATTGAATGCATCACAGATATTCCCTCTAAGCCAAACTCCATAGAGCCCTGGCAAAAGTAGCTGGTTGTATAGTGTAAATTTGAAACTTTTATTATTAACAGAAACCACCACGGTATCAGATGGGTTTACTTACAATTTAGGAGCTTCTCTTGAAAGAGACAGGGCATGCATAGTACCATTTGATGCCTGTTTTATCATTAGTTGACAAGGCTACTTAAATTGTGTGCTGGCTGGGGCAGTGGGCTGGCCTAAGTGGGATGAGCTAAACTGGAAGTTTTCTCAACTTGCTGGCACTGTAGCAGGGCTGCTTCATCGTAGGTCCAGACTCTTGTGCCTAATCACTGCTAGGGTCCGAGAAATGCCCCCAAAGAAGGCCAACAACCACGTATAACAAGAGAGCTTTATTGATTCCAACGTTAGGGTGGCAAAAGAATGACCCCCAAAGTGACCTACAAGCTCCTTTAAGTGGAGTTAGGGGAATTCCAAAGAGGAGGGATTAATCTGGGTTGATTGGTGAAGGAAAGGTTAATATGGAGGTTGATTGCTGGAAGGTCCTGGTGGTTAGGGACCTTCCAGCAGCAGGGTGGGGAAAGCTATCGTTAGCCTGCAGAAGTTTGCGAGCATCTCCTGAGCCAGCACAAGGGCTTGTGGGAGTGCTTGCTGATGGTCACCCATAAGTTATGGTTTTCATGAGACCTGCTTGCTCAGCTCTGTCCCTCTCTAGTGAAGTGAAACTAAGGTCTGGTCTCCGGCAGGACTATGGTCGGCTGCCCCTCCCCCCTTCCAGCCTTTTCAGTCACAAGCGTGCCCTGCCTCACACTTTACCGTATTGACACTAACATTGTGAAATACTTTTCTTTGAGTGTTGTGTGGGTGTTTTGTGTAGATGGGGATTGTGAAAAAGTTCAATTTGTTCCTTATTCTCCATTTCCCCACTGGAGATGGATTTGAATTTCTGGTCTCTGTCCACAAGCCTTCTTGCATCTGTTTCCCTGAACCATGAAGCACAGCCCAGATCTAGCCGAATAATTTCTCTCCATGCGTGGTTCTCTTTGCCCACCCTTACTCACTGTGATCCTAACCGTCTGTCCATGAATGTAGCCTGGCCCTTCCACCTGGACTCTTAGCTTTCCTTTAAGGGGTCACAGGTAGAGCAGAGACGCTCATGGGGATAAGAGATAGGTACCCAGGCCTTCACTCATTACTAGCTACCCAGGGAAAGTAGTCTGGCTCTTGTTAGTAGTGTGTGACACCCCCCTCCATCTCCCTTATCCCCTTTTTCCCATTCTGTCACAAGTTAAAGAAAACAGCAGGTGCAGGGTCATACAATGGCATCTCTAGAGATGACTGCTCATTGATCTGTGTCTTATACAAGAAAAGGATCTCTGAAGACACATAAGACACAGAGTTTTGCAAATGCCATCATCATTGTCACTGGAATCTGAAGTTTCTGTTGGTTTCAGGGCTACTGATAAAACCAGGAGACAGAAATTGGTGGAAGGAAATTGGCTTATGAGGGGTGAGAGGGTGGACAGTTAGATGTCAAAGCTTTTAAGAGATACTGCACCAAGATAATGTGTAATTATCCCCTGGACTGTGCAACCTTTTTCT